CCACCTTCAGTAGACGAACGGACGTTATAGCGCAGCAAGCTCTCTCCTCTAGTGCCTCCAAAAGAAACCATAATGTCTCTCCTCCAGAGTTTCGCGAGTGGTCAGCCAGTCTCTGAGTCTGGCGTCAAGTGCTGCAATTGTGGCGGCGTGAGGCGGCCCTGGGACATGTTCCTCCCCATCACACACAGAGGAAGTTTCTTCCAAGACTCCTTCTTCTCCAACTTGCACCAGCACTTCCATGCCACCGTCAGGGACATCCTCAACAGGTGGTGCGACTCTGACCTCAAGCTCACCGACCCCTGGGACGACGTCAATGCCCGCCACACTGACATCCTCGATCGCTACCGACAGCTTCGCTCCCGCAACCTGAAGGAGGAGAATCAAGCCGTTGCCGTCACGTCGGACGACACCAGCCGGAAGGTTTGTAAAGCGAGCGGGAAATACCCATTATTTTATTTAGGAATGTATTGATCCAAAAAAGAAATAGAGTTTTTTATTATTATTCTAATATATGTGTTGTAAATCATTAGGTGGTAATGGACGTGCATGACTTCATGGGTGGAGACGTGAAGGTGAAAGTGGTGGGCGAGAAGGACCTCGTGGTGGAGGGAAGTGTGGAGAAGAAAGAGGGAGGCTCCTCAGTGGCCTCGCACTCCTTCAGACGCCGCTTCTCCTTGCCTCGTCTCACTGACTTGTCAGCCATTGACTCTGTCATGTCATCTGATGGCATCCTCACCATTACATCGCCGAAAATAGTGAGTGATTTCTTTATCTCATGAAAGCCGATGTTTGGATTTCCGTGCGACATAGAATTGAAATATCCGCCATATTCTCAACATCTTACAGTGCGTCCTTGTTTCACAGGAGAGCGAAGCGCAGCACAAGACCACCATCATCCCCATTCAGATGGAGGAAACTCAAGATAAGAAGGTCAGTGAAGGGACTTCGTCAGAGTCCTTTAAATGTGAACAGTGTAGCCAAACGCAGACCTCTGTCAATGGAGGCAAACAGGGAGTAAGTGTTCCCATCAAGAACTACGACCAACCTTCGGAGGCCAACAAATCACAGCCCAAACAGACTCAGATAACGCAAGAATCTGTTCCGTCATCGTCATCCTCCAGACTGATTCCCATTGAAATCGAGGCAAATGAGGCCAATGTTAACGCAAGCGCAAATACAGCTCGCTTGAGTCAGACGCCGTCATCGGACTTCCAGTTGAAATCCTCAGAGAACGACAAGATGTTCCACATGGATCCGTTCCCTGGACACTTCTTCCCCATCACAAGGCGAGGGCTCTTCTTCAGCGACTCCTTCTTCCAAGACTCGTGGAACGACTTCCAGAAGGCCGTGAGGGAGGTGTTGGCGAGGTGGGGAGACCAGTCATCGCTGCTCGACGACCTCACCAGTTACAGGAACCTTCGAAGTCGCGATCTCCGAGAAGATACTCAGGCTGTCACGTCCTCGGAGGACGAACATCAGCACAAGGTACATATTTGGTCCTTATTCTAAACAGAAGTGTTTACGAAAACCATATAAGCATAGGAATATAATGTTTAGGATGTACATCAACGTCGTGCTTCCTTTTCAGTTTGTAATTGATGTCCACGATTTCATGGACGGCGGAGAGATCAACGTGAAAGCTGTCAACGACCGAGAACTGGTCGTTTCAGGCCACACGGACAAGAAGGAGGGCGGCGCCAAGTCCAGCAAGCGGTTCCTGCGACGCTTCGTTGTTCCTGGAGACATTCAGCTTGATGCCGTTACTTCGGTCATGTCTTCCGATGGCGTGCTCACTGTTTCTGCTCCGAAGAAGGTGAGTTGCACTTCAAAATGTATCAACGCGTGATTCCAAGGTCTTTATTATGTGTAGATTCATTTATCGAAATATGTGCTAACCTCCTCTCCTCCATCAGCACTCGACACTCCAAATAGAGGAGGTCTTTTCGCCCATAAGCATCGACGGAAGTGAGAAGAAGCTGACCAGCCCAGGCGCGACCAAAGACAACTCCCACGCTGCACTTCAGAATAGCCAAGGAAGTCCTATGGCACCTTGGACCAAGTCGCCAGGAGCCACGGCGGCTCCAACTTGCCAACAGACATCCACAAATCAAACTTCAAATCCTCTAAACGTAAGAAGTTTATATCTGCTTATTTGCATTGTTCATAGAGCAAATCAATTTGTTCTTCCTTTCCCATAAAATGAATAAACCAATGAAAATAGATATAAGTTAATAGAAAGAAAATATTACAAATTAAAGGTAAAAGTACAAAATCAAATTACGCATACAGCACAAACATAAAGAAATATTTGCTGTTGTCTAATATCAGCATACACTTCGTCATCTATTCGATTCCAACCACCAACAGAAAGAAGACCCATACGTCCTCGTGACTGCAGTTCCCGCGAGAGTCGAAGCGGTGCCCGATTCAGCAGAGACCCCAAAGCCCTCTTCCTCCTCAGCTCCTTCGAAAAGCGCGTCTGTGAAGCCCAAAGCCTTCG